GTATGGAGATTTCCACACGCAATGCCTTTTCATCACTGATGCTCAGTGATCCATTCGTATATATTTCCATCACCTTTGTTTCCTTCTACGCCCAATGGAATAATTCGGAGGATTCGAGACATTTCGAGATTTTTCTATGCTACCCTCACAGGGTGAGGCTGAGCTGTAGGCATAGAGAGGAGGAAGACTATGCCTTCTCCGAAGTAGCCTTTTCGAAACCGAATACAAGCTGGTTTCTTTAACAGCCCCTTCGCCAATTTTGTAATCTGTCATTACTAACACTTAAAACTCCACTCTCTATTTTCATGGTATTACTCGCTACCAGTTGGGCCAGTGGTGTCTTCTGGACAGCGGGGGGAGATTTTGAAGTCGTGCTTTGGAAATTTGGAATAAATGCCGCTATACCATAATTTCACCCACTGTAGCTTTAAAACATTGGTTAGAGCACGAATCCCTTTGCTGGAAGAAAACACTAGCAAAAGTCAGATATTTCGATGTAAGCTATAGAAAAAGGATTTTTTGAAGCTACTTTCACTTGCAGTTTTTTATTGTTATTCAGTCAATAAAAACACACATTCAGTCGTCTCCAGGTTTTCGTGGATGAAAAACATTTGTATCACTTAAACACATTGTGTAACATTTCACTTTAGCCATTAGGGTTCATAGAAAAATTCCCTCCTCATCAATGAAATTTTTTAGGAAATTGTAAATCGATTTTTGGACGATTGTTACATATGGACTCAGTCAATAAGGGATGCTTTTTGTGATTTGAAACCGTTTAGCGGACAAAGTCGTGAAACATGGACCAAAGTATGTCTTTCGGGGGTCTTTCAATAGTCGTTACTCAAAGAAGGATTCGAACCAATAAATCTATGTTGTCAAGGTATCTGGCCAAATATTGATACGTTCAATATACGCATAATCAAACTAAATATTGCTTTGATGTGAATATAAAGAAATGATATGTTAAGCAAAGTTTGTGTATGCAAGAATGTATTAATCATCAGTGACATTCTTAGCACGAAATTATTGAATGCTATATTTTCAGTGATCCATTCATATGTTTCACCGCTACTTTGCCTTTACGTCCAAAGGAAACTATTTGGACGGATAACCGAGGCTGGATATTTTCTAACGTTGGCATTTTATGTTTACAGTTTACTGTAGATTATGACATCTATAAAAGGGAAATATTTTTTAAATATTTTTTTACAAGACTTTGTGTAATGTTGGACTCATAACACTTTTTAGATAAGCAGTTACTGTGAATTTTTATGTTGAATCTTGTGTCAGTGGTCAATGAACTGTGTATAATCGTAGCTATGGTGATTTATCGTTTCATCAATGACTGGTTTAGCTGTCTTTGTTTCTTATGTAATATAATGCTGATTTTAAATGATAACACACTCGCTCTAATGTAAAGTACAGTAACACTGATTGCGGCGTACGTGTGGCCTGGAGCTCACTTGGCAATATGGCGACAAACAAACTTCCTTTGTTTTCAAATCCTGACAAATAAAAAACATGACGCTAAGATAAATTCCTTGTTGGCATATCCCTCAGGGAATACAGTATTATTTGTGACGGTGTACGGTTCGATATCAAGGCCATAAAGAGGGTACATAAAACCGCCTTGCCCTCGTGATAAGCTGCACTCTTTTTAAATATTTTCACATATTTCTTATGCTTTGGGAGGTGGGGAAAAAGTAGTCACATTTCTGTAAAGTTTTCTCCCCCGCTGCAACTCGGCTGGTATAAAAAACATAAAAATGGTTTGTGGGATGTTGCAAACCTTACGAATCAAGCGGGAATACTGTTATGCATCTATACATCCTATCATTTTCAAGAACAACAATAAACTTTTGACTCGCATGTTTAATATACCCGGTATGTCAACTTCAGTGGGTCCTCCTTAAGAAAATATATCTGGTGCAATATGCTATCAGAAGAGCACATTTACAGTCGGCGGATCCAAAAAGCAGGTAAAACAATTTGTGGCCTCACAATATCACCCTGAGTTTGATGTTGGTGTCACCATTTGGTAATTCGAGTTGGAGACAACTGCCCCCCTGAAAAAAGAGTTAAAGGATGTGCAAATCTTCATCCAGGTTTGAGGTAAAAGGAATTAGGTGATGTTGGTTGACTGCTTCACTGGGAGTAGGTAACTAGGTGATGTGGTTGTGGAAGATCCCAATCTTACCAAAAACTGAACCAGTGCCAAAAATCGAACAGGTAAATCTAGGATGGTGATAATGGCTTTTATTTTACATGTTTTATGGACCCGTGAAGATCCGGGTAGAGAATAGGTCTTCAACAACCCATGCTTGTGGTAACAGGCGACTGTGCTTGTGGTAAGAGGCGACTAACGGGAACGGGTGGTCATGCTCTTCTCTGAATTGGTTGATGCATGTCATTGTATCCCAGTTACGTACATTGATGTTCCTTATGACTTCAATTACTGGATTCTCTGGTCCAGACTCGATTATATACAGATCGCAGTCATATAGCTGGAATAGTGCTGATCGCGGCTTTAAACAAACAAACAAACACACAAACAAACAAAACATGTTTGTATGAACAGTTTGTCCTGTCATACACTGTTACAAATAAATAATGAATGGTGACATCCGCACTATCAAACATCTATGCATAGTCATACATCATACATGAATATCCACACACAAGAAACTGTGGATATAGCCCAAGACAGTGGCGCCATGGCCATTGGTGAGTCTGCACCCCCTGGGCGACTGCAATGTTGCGGTGTTTTGTAGGTGTACCTCGTGGTTATGCCGAGGTGGTCTAATTTTGATAATACGCTTATAATAGATTAGGTTCATATTATTTGAAGGCCACTAACATTCTCAATCGTTCGTATTCTTAATAAATTACGATGTTACTATAATAGATTCGGTTCATACTATTTGGAGGCCAGTACCATTTTGCTGAGTAGACAGACGAGGCTGACGATATTGATGTTTAGCAGTACATGATTGAACTTGTGTAAAAAATCAGTACAATATCAATAGACAATGATCATATAGAAAGTGAAGTGTATCTTCATAAATCACAACATGTGATACTTAGAGATTATACAAGTACATACAGGAAAGCATAAAGCATAGCGCAGTCACAGTACTGGCACCACCATGGGCATAGCCCAGTCACAGTACTGGCACCACCATGAGCATAGCGCAGTCACAGTACTGGCACCACCATGAGCATAGCGCAGTCACAGTACTGGCACCACCATGGGCATAGCCCAGTCACAGTACTGGCACCACCATGTGCATAGCCCAGTCACAGTACTGGCACCACCATGTGCATAGCGCAGTCACAGTACTGGCACCACCATGTGCATAGCCCAGTCACAGTACTGGCACCACCATGTGCCTAGCCCAGTCACAGTACTGGCACCACCATGTGCATAGCGCAGTCACAGTACTGGCACCACCATGTGCATAGCGCAGTCACAGTACTGGCACCACCATGTGCATAGCGCAGTCACAGTACTGGCACCACCATGTGCACAGCGCAGTCACCGTACTGGCACCACCATGTGCATAGCCCAGTCACAGTACTGGCACCACCATGTGCATAGCGCAGTCACAGTACTGGCACCACCATGTGCATAGCCCAGTCACAGTACTGGCACCACCTTGTGCATAGCCCAGTCACAGTACTGGCACCACCATGTGCATAGCGCAGTCACAGTACTGGCACCATGTGCATAGCCCAGTCACAGTACTGGCACCACCATGTGCATAGCCCAGTCACAGTACTGGCACCACCTTGTGCATAGCCCAGTCACAGTACTGGCACCACCATGTGCATAGCAGTCACAGTACTGGCACCACCATGTGCATAGCGCAGTCACAGTACTGACACCACCATGTGCATAGCGCAGTCACAGTACTGGCACCACCATGTGCTCAATAAAGGACACTACCAACGTACACACTACTCTACGTAAACTCGGGTAGCCTAGTGGTTAAAGCGTTCGCTCGTCACGCCGAAGACCCGGGTTCGATTCCCGACATGGGTTAAATATGTGAAGCCCATTTCTGGTGTCCCCCGCCGTGATATTTGCTTAAAGCGGCGTAAACCCATACTCACTCACTCGTCTCCAGGTTATCGTGGATGGTAAAATTAGCCAACCGAATGCCAGTTTTCTGATGCATGTAAATGCCCCGTAATGTAAGCAAGTTATTTCCATGTACTACCAATGAGCTGCATTTTAATAACGAGTCTTGCTTTATTTAGTCAGGGTACATATTGAAACAAAGTATGCCGGGTTTATAAGCTGTTTATTATTCATCAAACTCAAAATATCAGGCTTTTTATGCACATTTTCTGTTTGACTTACCAATCTATCAACCTCGAGATCATTTCTTCTCATCAAAAAAATTCCGAAAACAGAAACTTATGGTCGAATTTAAATTTATCTATCAGTATTCAGCTTATTATCTCTGCTTTTGTCCATGGGCCCAGGAAAGAACACGCGTGTTCCACAACAGATCACGGGCGTTCAGCAATAGAACACGTGCTGCCCGAACTAGAACATTCGTATTCTGTGGCAGAACATGCGGACGCGTCCAATGTTCAATATTAGAACACAGCGCTTAGAGTGTAAATCAATGCCAGATTTTAGGTGATGTGAGCTTTGATTTCTCTAATGGTGATGTGGATGGGAACCGATTAAAGTCTTCTTTGATAGGCATTTAGAAGTCGGACTACTAAGTAAGGATAAGATTTATGGATGAACAACTTCTTTATTAATTGTAAGTTGTTCATCCATAAATCTTATTCTTACCGATTAAAGACGCCCGAAGTGCTAATTGCCCTCTGTTACGGAGATCGTATTGTTTAATGTGTATGTATAACGCAATGATGTTGTCTTGCAGACAATGCGACTGTTTTGTGTCCTATGTTTCGTGACTTTAGATAGAATATGTTCCACAACTTGCCCCATGCATAAGATGTGACCAATATTATTTCAGATTGCAGTGAAGGTTATGCTGCTGGGTATTCCGACGGCTACTACAACATCCAGCCAACGTCTTCATCGACGGGGTTTGCGGTGAGATGTGTCATGAAGGTTGGAGGAAGAACGATTGTCCACTATCGCTTTGAAACACCAACTGCCACGTTAGATTTCAACCGGAGTTGGGCAGATTATCGCGACGGCTTCGGGCTGACCAACAACGATCACTGGCTGGGGCTGGAGAAGATATACCACATTTGTAAACCGGGGACATGTACACTGAAAATTGAACTGAGATTTGTCGACGATTCTTATAAGCAACAGTACTACGAGAACTTTTTTCTTTCAAACGAGGGAGATGACTACCGTATGTATTTTGCGAAAACACGTGGTAAAAGCGGTGCCACCCTAGGAGATTGTTTAACTCCACTCAACGCATCGGCATTCAGCACGTACGACCGAGACAACGACAATGATGCCGGAAGCTGTGCCGTCGAATACGAAAGCGGATTTTGGTTTAACGCATGCGCAGATTGTAACCCGAATGGTCGTCTCCTTCGTCCGGCGGACGAGAAACGAACAAATGTGCCTTCTGAGGTGTTCTGGACAAACGACCTTGGGGACATGGTACCGAACCGATTGCTCATGTGGCTAGTTGTGACGTAGACATGATTTCAAACAATTACGTGCATGATTTCAAATAACACGTCCCATTTTAATTCTGGAAACCCAAAAGTCCAGAAACTCTACGGTCTTTGCCCAGTCTCGGTTAAAGGTATTTACAAAATTAAACATGTTGTTTTCATGGGAACATACCAAGGAAGAAAAAATGAAAAAAAATTGTTCAAAAACCCAATATTTACACTATGTCGCCCATGGGCCTGCCCATTGGCGAAGACTGGCCCATGGGTAGGCCCATGGGCGAGAATATGTTCCTTTACCCAAAACTCATGTTTTTGTTTCGCCAATACATTAAATGTATTTATTCAAGTATCATGACACAAAATTTAACTCATTTTAACTTTATTCAACGATTTTATAGCGATATTGATATATTTCGCCCATGGGCGAGAAAAAAGTTTTGGCCAATGGGCAGGCCCATGGGCGAGAATATGTTCCTTTACTCAAAACTCATGTTTTTGTTTCGCAAATACATTAAATGTATTTATTCAAGTATCATGACACAAAATTTTACTCATTTTAACTTAATTCAACGATTTTATAGCGATATTGAAATATTCTCGCCAACTGGCGAGAAAAAGGTTTGGCCCATGGGCGAGAATATTTTCCTTTACTCAAAACTCATGTTTTTGTATCGCAAATACATTAAATGTATTTATTCAAGTATCATGACACAAAATTTCACTCATTTTAACTTAATTCAACTATTTTATAGCGATATTGAAATATTTCGCCCATGGGCGAGAATATTTTCCTTTACTCAAAACTCATGTTTTTGTTTCGCAAATACATGCGGGTGTTCTTACCATTTTCATGGCACATAATGTAACTCAATTTTACTTAATTCAGCTATTTTATAGCGTTATTGAAATATTTAGCCCATGGGCGAGAAAAGGTTTGGCCAATGGGCGAGAATATTTCCCTTTGCTCAAAACTCATGTTTTAGTGGCGCATATACATAAAGGTGTTCTTAGAAGTTTCATGTCACATAATTTAACAAATTTTAACTTAATTCAACTATTTTACGGCGTTATTGAAATATTTCGCTCTGGACGAGAGAGATTGGCCCATGGGCGAGAATATTTTCCTTTGCTCAACAGTTTTAGTTTCGCAAATACATAAAGGTGTGTCTACAAGCATGACACATGATTCAACTATTTTACGGCGTTATTAAAATATTTCGCCCATGTTTTCGTCAGTACCTTTAAAGCATTAACTAACCGTGTGCAAAGTATATTGTATCGTGTTAAATATACTTTATATTATATCATTACATTACTATTTAAGATATACCTGCTGTCGGTCAATTACGATCTACCACACCACGCGTGAATAAACAGTTATGGAGGTGTTGCTGTGGGCAAACACCTAGCCTGAAATTTTTATTTTTTTTGTGGATACATGTTTTACAAATGTTCGTTGATATGTGGATATATTAAGCACAAAGACAAACAAATGTTAATGAAAGATGAATTAGAGCCTTGATATATTCATCAAGATGTGTATCATCGTTTAATGGGGTAGGTATGAAACATACAGGTACGCGTGTGCGTATTTTAATGAAAAAAAAATATTCGTCTTTTATTGCATAACGTTTGGCTGAATATCTTACATTCTAACGAAATCTCGAAATAATTATTTAATTACATGCGGTGGCGAACTGACCAGTGGGAATTTTGTTTCAATGCGATTGAGGTAAACGTGAGTGAATATTGTACACAAACGACTTTAAACCGCACAGATCTTCAAATGTGTTACATCTATAGATTAGTATTACATCTACCTATATACCACTTTATAATGTCACGGTACATCGTATTTAAAGAAAACAAGGGGCTCAAAGTGAAGCACTTTTACCGTATTTTCTTAAGAAAATCCAAGTCAGAAGTGTTCGGTCCGACTTGGCCCGTGCTGTCAAAATCAAATTAAACCTCACAGATGTGTCATCAAATGGATTCACTTCTATAGATTAGTACTATATCTACCTAAATACCCTTTTATAGTGTCTCAGATCGATGTACTTAAAGAAAACAAGGGACTCAAAGTGAAGCCCTTTCTCCTCTATATTCTCAAGATAGTCTCTATCAGAAATGTGTGTTTGTGTTGGGTCCGACTTGGCCCGGGCGGTCCAAATCGACTTTAAACACACAGATGTATCTTCAAACGTGTTTACATCTATAGATTAGTATTATACCTACCTATACACTACTTTATAATGTCCTAGTGTATCGCATTTAAAGAAATCTGAGCCGTTAAAGTCAAGCACTTTTACTGTATTTTCTTAATACAAAATGTCAAAATCAACTTAAACCTCACAGATGTATCATCAAATGGATTCACATCTATAGATTAGTATTATATCTACCTAAATACCACATTATAGTGTCTCAGATCGCGGTATTTAAAGAAAACAAGGGGCTCAAAGTGAAGCCCTTTCCCCTCTACATTCTCAACATAGTCTTGATCAGAAGTGTTTGGCTTGTGTTGGGTCCGACTTGGCCCGGGCTGTCAAAATCGACTTTAAACACACAGATGTATCTTCAAATGGGTTTACATCTATAGATTAGTATTAAATCTACCTGTGTACCACTTTATAATGTCACGGTACATCGTATTTAAAGAAAACAAGGTGCTCAAGGTGAAGCCCTTTCCCCCTCTTCATTCTCAACATAGTCTCTATCAGAAGTGTTTGGCTTGTATCTTCAACTCTGCATAGCGAATAGCGGCGCCTTAGACGACTGGGCCACCCGTGCCCCCGACACACAAGAGACTCAGTAACATTCACGCACCATTGGGAATATCAAATTAAGTTTATACAGCAAACTACGGTTACAACGAATTCAAAGGGAACATTAATTGTAGATCTTAATAATTTAGTTCGCAAGACAATGGGCAATGGGCAAGCATCGTGTCCTGGAGATGATGGAATCAAATTTCACAACATAATATCCCCTTGTTCAAGTTGGCGATATAATTTATTCATCTGGAAAATACTGGAATTCAAACCACAGTGAATTACGCTACACTTCAGTGCATTTTTACAAAATAAATCATATGAAACCCATACCTATTGCTGATGTGATCTCTGCTGTCACGTTGTCATTTCCGGTTTGGTTGTCTCAAACAACAATCAGTAACGTAATCAGTGGCGTTGCTTTTCAGAGTCCTATTCGGGTGCTATTGTGGCCTTCGTATTTATGTTAATGTTTTAATTCTTTGATTACCGCGTCCCTTTCGCGCGTCAATGCGTTTATAGCAATTCCACTGTTGTAACAATCGTTATATCAAACTGGTGCAGAGTCTTGGGGAAATGTAATGACTGCAATACAATCAAGCATGTCAGAAGAGAAATGTCGTTCCTTTTGTGAAACCATTAAAGTCTGTAAGTGATCACATATCACATATTCTTATTTGATAATATTTCTTAAGAAAATACAGTAAAAGAGCTTGACATTAACGTCCCAGTTTTCTTTAAATGCCATACACTGTGACATTATTAAGTGGTATATAGGTAGATATAACACTAATCTATAGATGTAAACACATTTGAAGATACAACTGTGTGTTTAAAGTTGATTTTGACCCCCCGGGCCAAGTCGGCCCCAACACAAGCCAAACACTTCTGATAGAGACTATGTTGAGAATGTAGAGGGAAAAGGGCTTCACTTTGAGCCCCTTGTTTACTTTATATACCGCGATCTGACACACTATAAAGTGGTATTTAGGTAGATATAACAATAGTCTATAGATGTAAACACATCTGAAGATACATCTGTGCGGTTTAATTTGATTTTGACAGCCCGGGCCAAGTCGGACCGAACACTTCTGACATAGATTTTCTTAAGAAAATACAATGAAAATGCTTCACTTTGAGCCCCTTGTTTTCTTTCAATACGATGTACGATGACATTATAAAGTGGTGTATAGGTAGATTTAACACTAATCTATAGATGTAAACACATTTGAAGATACATCTGTGTGTTTAAAGTTGATTTTGACCGCCCGGGCCAAGTCGGACCCAACACAAGCAAAACACTTCTGATAGAGACTATGTTGAGAATGTAGAGGGAAAAGGGCTTCACTTTGAGACCCTTCATAAACTAATCTATAGATGTGAATCCATTTGATGATACATCTGTAAGGTTTAAGTTGATTTTGACAGCCCGGGCCAAGTCGGACCGAACACTTGTGTGACTGTTGAGAGTATAGGGAGAAGAGGTCTACTTTAACCAACGTGTCTGCTTTAAATACGACGAACAGTGACATTATAAAGTGGTATTTATTGAGATATAATACGTTCCTATAAATATAAACGCTATGCCGACAGATGGAAATTTGTATCACGATAGCTAGAAGTATTTGATACGTTTTAAATCTTATTTCGTTAACGATTGCTCTTTTACAGGTAAGCTAGATCAGCGACGCTTACACACAGCTCCACATTCTGGTTTTCAAGCGATTTACTCCGAATTACTTAATTATGGTGCACTTTTTTGTTTGGTGATTGTTCATTCATGTCATGTGTTTATATTGCATCAGTTTTTTATGAAGGTATGATCGCCGATAATGAAGTTATTAGCCAATAACACTTTGGCCCGTCTTGGCCCGGCCCGACTTTTAGGCAATGCCCTGTACATGTATATTTTTTGTGGATACATGTATTACATATTTTCGTTGATATGTGGATATATTAAGCACAAAGACACAAAAAGTTTATGAAAGATGAATTGGTGCCTTGATATATATATATATATATATTCAACGAGAACGAATCTTGTATTTTCTCCGCGATCCTGATGTGTATCATCGTTTAATTGGTCATTCATTAAAAGTATGTTGTGAGGCGATATTAAAGGAGCCGCTCAATTTACACAGTGTCGTCCGTTTCGCGTGAACTACCACCCTACCCTGTCAATAAGAGTTATGTAATCGGTACACAAATATATTTGGTGCGATGTCAGTGTGGAAGGAGTTTGAATTACGTCCGCCACTGGCCACAGAAATCTTCAAAGTAGAGTAACAATCAACAAGGCCAATGCCGTACTAATAACCTAGTGACTCACGTAACAACGGCTGTCAATCTGTCTGCTACAGCTACCATACCATCATCCCTGTCACAACTGGCGTATTA